TTTTTTGTGCTTTTTAAGTAACTATCAAAATCTCGAGTCAAATTATGTTGCAGATTTTAAAAACCCGAATAGCTTTTTTCCTAAAAGACATAATCCAAAATACCACCTACTCTTTCAATGCAAGCATCAATCACCAGTAGCCAAGTTGGACTCAGAATAAAAACGCACTGTTCTCCAGACACTAACTTAAATTTACTGAAACAAGTACTGACCAGGTTAAACAAGCAATAAAAGTGGTAGTTCAGGGGTACTGACGGATAGATGAGTTCCTCATTTGTTCTGTAGGGCTCAGGACAGCATTTAAACAGTTTTGTTTCTCTTTTCTTCATTTTTAAATGAAATCTTTTTTCTCCCTCTGGCTCTCTTGTCTATTGAGGTAACTGGTGTTGCATGAGAAATTACCTCATTTCAATGGCTGGAGCCAGTTTTTCTATCAGCTGCAGTAAGGTTTCCTCATTTATTTAATGAGCCTGGATAGGTAGGAAATTAGGTATTAGGAGCTGCAGATGAAGAAAACTAAAACAGAATTTTCTGTTTATTAGGGTGGTTTAAAAAAAAAATAGAAGATCTGTATTAATATAGTCGGTACATATAATTGGTATTTGGATTATGGCATGATTATTACTTTGCAGACAGGGGACTCTGTTATCACTCCTCAGTCATCAACTAAGTAGCTGCATTCTGTGCTCATCTCATCTCTGAAGCTGAAAGAAGAGCTAGTTATTATCTTCAAGTGGGGTTATTAATGAGGGGAAAAATCATCCCCAATTACTGTGAAGCAAAATATTTCAACATTTACATATCTGAGACTTCAATTTTGATCTAGTCCTTCATGAGTTCTTAAGCTCAGACTGTATTCACTTTTCCAAGCGTTCCCACAGCAACATATCGAGGGGAATTTGCACCTGTCCAAGTGCTGTCTTCCCCAGGTGTATGCTTAAGGGTCACAGAAATGCTGCCCGTCCCATCCTTGTGCTGCCAGAGACTGATTTCCACTGAGATTCCTTCATGCTACACCGTAGGAATGGAGTCTCAAGCGTAGGCTTCGCTAGAGAAATAAGAAATTTTGACCTGCCTATACTGTCTGTGTTCACAGTCCTTTTTTTCCTAACTAGAAACAGCCTGCGATTTATTTGAAAGAGCTAATTTCACTCCTTTGCTTTTTTTTGAACAAGGTATTGATACTTGTGAAATTAATGGTTTGGAAGTTTTGACTCTGAACCTCCTAGAATAAAACCTGAGCAACACCAAGATGATGATTTCAATTCAGTTAAATGTGTGGGCAGTAACAAGGAGATGGGAGAAGTGCTGTCCATACTGTGAATCCATCCATCAACACAGATGCGAAGGTCTGACCTTGGCAGGTTCAGGAGGTAGGGACGTCAAACACAGTTTGCAGTCAGTTGGAAATGTACCTACTAGACAAAGAAAACCAAATAATTACACAGCTGTTTCAGTAGATTACAGTTTTCCTAGAAAACAATAAAACAGCCATCTGTGAATGGAAAAAGTAAACCATCTTTTTTTTCATTCAAAATCTCAATTCCTGAAAGTCATCAGATATGTCCTCTGTAAACTTCTTATCTCTTTTCAAAACTCACAGAGTCTGTAACCAGTCAGTGTAGATTTCTTTACAGCATTTATGCCCATTAATGCTTCGTTGATTTACAGTGAAACTGCTGAAGAAAGGACTGTCTTGCCCAGCCATATAAATACTAAATTAATTTCTTGTGAAGGATGGCTGCTATTACACTCACTATTAAATGAATTCATAATACTTGGACATTTGCAGTAAATCACCACTGGGACTGCATACTAACATCCCATTCCAAATCTTTTCTTTTTTTTAATATTAAAGCCATTGAAAAGGACGGGTTGCTCTCAAAGAAATGTACAGCTTTGTAACACTGGAGTCATTAACGAATTCCCACGGCACAAGGAGGAGTTCTAACTTAGTCCCATTTTACAGATGGGGGGAGGAGGCATGAAGGGGTTTAGGTTGAACTGCTGATCACAGGAGGTTCAAACCCAATCTGTTTCTCATGAGAAACATCACAGTAAATTATCAGCTCCTGACAGTCCTTGTTTTGCTTGAAGTGCTCTGAGCAGCATCCGCAGAGGATCTGGCAATGTGATACCAGAAGGCCGAGAGCATTTGCCAGACTCAAAGGGAGAAAGAGCTGGATGTAATGTCTAATCTCCAGGCACCTGAAGTGGTTAGTGTCGGTTCACCTCTAAATATCTTGCCCAAGGCCACGATGGGAAGGATGGGACTCCTCAGATTTTGACTAGCAGGACTAGGCTTAGCAATTGAAGTAAGTCATTTTCTCTCTTTAGAGAACACAGGTCTTAGTCTCAAAAGTTGAGTAAAATGCTCAGTAGACTAAGAAGGGCTAAAAATCAATTCTTTATTTTTCCTTTTGTTAAAGTAGAACAAAGGGTACATCAGCAACTTCATTATAGCGCTCTGTTATCTGACGGATAGTAGCTTGAGTGTAGAAATTTATGCCAGGGCTAACCATGTAGAGTGGAAGCCGTTCTTGTAAACAAAATTGAATGACTGTCAGACTCACCTGCTTTTTAATGTGCAGATGGGTGTGTATATATGCATCTCCTTCTTTCCAAAGATTTTTGTTTCTATGTCTTAAATGGTCTAAGTCACACAAGGTTTTTCTAATGAAAGATTGCGAAGGTATTTAAATTAGAAGAAAAATTAGAAAAGCTGCTACCACATAGAATATTAATTGTTCATTATACAGGGCTTTAGTTCACATAGTTACTTTGCATGTGCAAAGCTGCCAATTAAAGAGGCTCAAAGTGCTCACTGCTGCACAATAGCCGTTTCTCCAGAGCCCCGCAATGGCTATTGTATGCTGTCACTGACCTTTAGACACCTTCAAATGCATATTGACACAGTATGCTGGGATCATTACAGCTATTGTTTCAGTGTGCCACAGGGAAAGGAGAGTTTTGCAATTTCGTGAAGAGCTTTAAAATTCGATATAATGATGACAGCAGCGATATTTCATAATTAGAGAGTGAGAGAAGCACTCAAATATTTTTCTGGTGCTTCAGGTAAATTCCAGCACGCACACCTACCACAGTTCCCACAACGGTCCCTTCCCATCAGGGAAAGATGTTTATCAGGGGCGTTTGGTCCTTTTCTATTGTTTCCAGGGGAATTTATTTAGTATTTTTGACCTGATGGTGCCATATGGCCAGCCTCCCTTAGCTTCTATGGATTCCGTCTGGATGAACATCTTGGCAGGATGGATCCTTTCAGCCTGTAAGTGACAAACGCCCCTTTAAACAGAGCATATAGCTGGAACCGGTGGTATGCAGGAGACTGCGATCTGGAAGCGTAGTTCAGACTCTACTCTTCAAAAATCAGTGGACACTGTCTCTGTGGTAACAACTGTGCTTCATTTTAGCTCTTCCGTGTCTTAACATCTCAGGTATTTCTGTTTTCTTACCAGTCTGTGACAGCTAAAGAATGCAAACAAGAACTTTGGGAGCAGAGATATCAGATACTCCAAGTACATTTACTGTAGTAAATCCAAGCACCTTCTAAAAGCTTGTATTTATTTTATTGTAGCCCTCCTATTCTTTAAAGCTGCTTTGAGAAATTACTTCAGCAGTCAGCACATAAAAGAGCATCATTTTAAACCTTGCATGGGACATTTTGTCTACAGAGAATAAATAAACTACTGGCTTGTATTTCCAAAGAGTGTTCCCGCTTGAAGATAGATAGTTTCTGTTCCATAAGTATTGCAGTTGCTGGGTTCATTTTTATCCCCTGGGATCCTATTATAGAACAAATTAACAAATATAGCTAAACTTCACAGCCCCGAGTCTCTGAAGGTAGTCTTGGGTAATGGCTTGCACTTCTGACAGAAGAGGAAGAAATCTAACAGACCTTTTGCAAAACTTCTTGTGTCATTAAAAAAAATGGAAAATTTACTGTACAGCATTGCTGGTTGCAACTCTAGCCTAGCACTGTCCAGCATGTACCGGAGGATGGCCAGTTTCTGCACACAGTCCCTCTACCCAAAAGACTTTCTAGCTGCAGGACATAATATTTGGTATTTGTGTGTGCTTGAGGTAAATGTGCAGCAGGATTTCTCACACTGCTATAAAACCCACAAGGTCAGATGTGTTCCTTCAGTAATGCAGGCTGAACTTTTTTTTTTTCCCATTAATTGAAAGGGTGCTGTTATCTTGTTTTCATTCCTCTGTATCAGAAACCCTTGTAGAACTTTGAAAACTCCCATTCACTGCCACTGCAATTGCCAATTGTGAATTTTGTGGTCTATCTTCAAACATCAAGGTGATACCTTTATCTTAACACATGAGGAGAAGTGACCCACTTCTGGGAGGGAGACGCGAATAGGTACAGCTGTGTGATGCAGGATGTGAAGGGGAGCACACGCTGGAAAGAGCTATTAAACCACTGTCTTGTGCCTCCATTCTCCCTACAGTAAATCTGCATCAGGTAGTAAACGAGGCAGTAATGATGAGCGCTTCTCTTGCAATGGGCTGGGATCTGAAATCTCTCCTCAGACCCTTGTGCTTCCCAGCAGAGGTTTTTAGCCATTTGTTACTTTGGGGGAGTTTCTCTATTGAGGGACAGGATTCTCCTGGAAGAGAGAGGGCAGCACTTTGATTGCCGCCTTCTCTACATGGGAAGTTTGTACCTTTGCTGTCCTACTGTAACTGCACTTTCAAATGGCACGTGATCCCTGCCTGAGTGGATTTGAAAACGGAGATAATCTTTGCAGTATGTTAGGCCCCTACTCTGCTGAATGAGTTGAAGCCCTGTTGGATGGGGAGGGATTTTCATAGGATCTTTATTACCAAAAGCTCAAGTTCTACCTGGATCCACCTCTAGTCATGGCAGTTTTGGGAGGTTTCCTGCCACACACATTGAGGTTTTCCAAAAGAAAAACGAAGGGAGTTGGTATGTCTGCTCACTGCCCATATTTCGTTTGGTTCCTTTGCAGAAGGAGAAGAAGAGCGGGCTGCTGAAACTTCTAGCAGGAGCATCAACAAAAAAGAAGTCACGCTCCCCACCGTCCGTGTCGCCCACGCACGACGCCCAGGCAGCCATCGAAGGAGTCCTGCAAGGGGCAGTGGGACCCGAGCTCTCCTCCCTCTCCAGCCACGGCAGGGCCGGCTCATGCCCTATCGAGAGTGAAATGCAGGGAGCCATGGGGCTGGAGCCCCTGCACAGGAAAACAGGCTCCTTGGATTTGAATTTTTCCATCCCTTCTCCTGCCAGGCAGCCCCTCTCTTCCATGGCAGCTATTCGGCCAGAGCCCAAGCCTTTGCCCCGGGAAAGGTAAGCTGTGTATCTCCTGAGGCCACCTGCATCCTCGGGGAGCATTTGGAGGAGGGCTGCAAGTTTAACTTGCTGAAGGGTTGTTGCAGGTTTGCTGCTCTGTGTATTGACTGTAGGCGGCTCAGCTGTCTTTCAGGAAGACAGGGCTTACATGCATCTGCCCATTGAAAATCATTTGACACACAGTGCAGGTTTAATGTTCATTGATTAAAAAATTGGTGAGCAGCACCTGTCCGTGACACCGTACAGCCCTGCTCTAAATATGGAGGACAGCAGTGCTTTCTCAGCCCAAAGGGTGTAAATGCTGCGGGCAAAGGCCACTTTTTAAGTGGGATCCCTATGTTTTAATAAACTTACGGAGTTGTCATGTGGCGCTTCCTGCTGGGGGGCAACAAGGTGATGCGTTTGCTCATCAAGGCCCTTTCTGGCCTGTTCTGCAATACCAAAGACTGTTTTAAATTCTCCTTGTTTAGGATACTTACAGGTAGTGCCATCTTCAGTGACCTGTTACCAAAAATGTAGCTCATTTCTAGAGAGGAATGTACCAGTGATTCTGGAGTTCATTTCAGCAGCCTGCTCTGCACCTTGGTACCTTAGAGTAACTGACCTTGCAAACCTGAAAAGAGTAGAGTAGGAACACCAAAATACAAAAGCAGATGGAGAGAGAGATAACTGACTAGAAAGAGGGGTACAGAAAAGAGCTAGGTCTCCATGTGCAGAGTCATATTGGCTTCAGGTAAATACTTTCTACAAGACTGCAGTTTGAGGACTGGGAAGGGAACAGATAATGCACTGATACGATGCTATTGAAATGCTTTCCACTCAAAGAGTGATTGAGGAGAACATGTTTTTTACAAAAGCATCAAAGAGTTTTCAAAAAACAGTCTAGGGAACTCTCTGGAGTTTATATTTAAAACAATTCTGGAACAATAGTAAAGTTCCAGAAGTTTGAAAGAAACTATTTTTGTCTGAGTGTATAAAAGAGGCTGAAGGGAATGGACTGGGCAAACCACTTGACCCTAAATCCAGTTGGGGTCGTGGAGCAGATGATGCAGGGCATAATAAAGGATACTACAGGACAGTTCATACCTTACACAGTGTTTTACTGAACGCAGGTTGAAATTTGGTTGGGAAGGTAACAATGGCACTGTAACATATTTAAACTTTTCTAAGGCATCTGGTTTGTTACCATAAAATGTCTTGCTGAGTAAACTGTACACAACCAACACAGCAGATACTAAGTGGATTGAAAACTGATTTACTGGCATCAAGCCTAACTCTAGATCAGAAATAACTAGAAAATGATTGTGTATGTATGTAGTGTAGCCCAACAAGAGTTGGGTCTTGTCCCAGCACTGTCCAACATAAAGTCTTTGCTGTTGCAGAATGGAGGACTGAAGTGGGAGGTAGGTGATGAAGAGGGCAGACCCATTGGTACAGAGCTAATTCAATGCATTGGTAAGGAGAACACAGAGTAACAGTATATTTCAGAAGAGCCAAATCTGAGGCAAAGTGGAGTTGCCTCAGAGAAGCATCATAAGAACGATGGAAGATTAAAAACAATATATATGCAGTGAGTGATACAGGGAACTCTGGTACACCTGGCTTAGGAATGGCTTGGTAACTGTAAGAGACTACAGACAGGACAGACATGGGAATATTTTTGCTCTAGATTGGGCATTTTGTCTAAAAGAGGTGCTGTTGTTCAAGCGCAGCTATTAGATTGAAACAGAAATAAATAAAGGCAAGTCCTTCAGCATTGTAATGAAGGCAGTAAGAGCAGACTATCACAGTAGTCTCTTGTCCTTAAAATCCATGAAAAAGTAATTTAGTAAAAGGAGTGAAAAACCAATCCCTATTTAGGCACACTTAATTTGGTCTACATCAGTTTAGATTAATGCTATAAGAAAAGCTAAATCAATATAAACCAGATTTAGCACCAATTTAACTAAATCAGTGGAATGCTGCACCTTTAGTTAAATGTAGCCATGAAAAGAAGAACATCCCCTGACATCTCCAGAGCTGGCTGTTGAGGTGCTCCTCTCAAAACTTTACTGTAGAGAAGTCCAGACACATTATTTAATATGCCAGGGCTAGTCCCATATCCTACAAATTTCTTAGTTCACCTCAGGATGGTCCAGATAGTGAAACATTTAGCTGATGACAATTTTAAGTGGCAAAATAGAACCAGAGGGACGTGGGTTAGCTGCACCTGCTCAGCCATGCTGGAATCAGGAGGAAATAGATTTAGACTACTAAAACTGAGTAAGTACTTCCAATTGCAGTTTATGGTGGTAAGGAACTTACTCTGATTTTAAGCATTTAAATTCCCGAGTCTTAAATCTGAAAATAAGCTATAATTGAAGTAACCCTAATTATACACAGCAGGCAAGATTCTCTAATTGATTTATGAATTAACTTCCATATCATTGGTGTATCTGCATTCCTTAACTGATCATATGGGGTTTTTCATGCCCATAATGGGAAATATTAATTACCTTCATGTGCTAGGAAGGATAATGCTTAGTCCTGGAATAATCTGAGCAGATATATTAAACGCTTGTCTCCTAGAAATTCATCCCACATCCATCTGTGCTCATTAAATCATCAAATTGCTCAGAAGTATCAAATTATATTTTTTTAAAACATATTTCGTTTTTCAAACCACTTGTTCTTTTCACATCTGGCAATGGAGGAACTCCATTCAACGTCACTCAGCTCCACATTTTGCTTGTTTGCATTTTGGTGCATTTCATCTGCACAGTAGGAACAATTCTCTGGGAAAGAAAAGGGAGGAGAGGGAAAAAAAGGTTAGATAAACAGATTCAGATGCTGGATGAAATTTTAAAAAGCTGCAAAGCATTTCAGTGCACTTAGCTGTACTTGGCTTCCTGTCTCCCTACGCCCATCTGTGCGCACAGAGACAGAGCACTGAAAGGTTGGAAGAAGTAGCACATTCCTTAATATTTACGGCGTTCGAAATGAGGCTCATGCAGGCAGCAGAGCACCGCTACTTCTCCCATAGAGGCTGGCTTGCAGCTCCAGCACTCGCCACATCCAGGCTACTGATCAAACCCATGCCACTAGCCATATCGGAGGTGCATTAAAAGGCTCCGATTGCTCGCAGCTCGATGCTCACGATTTAAGGGAAGACTTGCCCATTCCGCTGCCTGACAGCGCAGCCCTCCGCGGGAGTTGCAGCCAGGCAGACAGGAAGGTGAACAGAGCTTTACCCTCTCAGAGACGCTGCTAATGTTTATGTTCTCATTCAATTTTTGTGCACGGGGAGAGTGAGGAAAACAATTATTTTATCTTATCCTACTTGATATTCCAAAACCTGGTTATGGATGGCTGGATTAGAAAGGAAATTGCTCCTAGCTCTCCCGTCATTTAGCCTTGATATTTAACTGGTTTGCTGGGATAGTTAGTGCCCATCTCTGCCTTCTGGGTGTAGTTTCCTACTATCGGTTTATAAAATCACCTTCCTTCAGCTGCTCTCTGCCATAAAGCGTCCAGCAGTCTGAGCAACAGAGCGGAGAAATTTCCCAGGTGGTGTCCTTGTCACTTCACGTTGCAGTGATTAACTGTCAAGTGAATACCCCATCAGGCTGCGTGTGCCCCACACACTCTTTTCCACCTACTGCTCCGTCCAGTTTCTGCTGGTGCAAGAAACGGGACCAGTACAGGGATGTGCTGTGGTGAGGCAGGGCCTGGGCCAGACACTTGCCCACATCCCACTGACGCTGTCGGTTCACGTGGGAGAGGGGTGTGCTGTCTGCCTAGCAGCGCCAAAACAAAATACTTTCCTTGCCACCCCCTTCAAGAAAATATGACCGTACGTTAAGCAAAACAGGAGAGTTGAGTGTGCATGTGTGTGTGCGTGAGTCATGTTCCCCTCACTGCCTGGCACTGTTCCCAGATGCAAACCTAAGTAAAACACGTCACGCGTTGTTGACTCTTTTATAGCAACTGGCACTAATTCTGCCATGTTATATTCTGATAAAGCGGTCGTATCCAGACTTACTGTCACGACTGGCGTATCTGTGCCATGTTTCTATGGTTTTCATGGAGCCTTCAAGCAAGTTGCAACCACAATGGTGCTGCAGAATAAGATGGGAGCAGTGAGTTTGACCTTTAAAATAGACCCCTCCATGTTTCCGTGTATCTTTTCTACAAATCACTGCCATGTTAGAAATTGAGCTCCCAATTCAAGGAAGCATTCAAGCATGTGCTTAACGCCCATTGACTTCAATTTTGCTGCGCATTTATATCTTCTTTGCCAAAAGGGAAAGCAAAGGAAGGGGTTTTTTTCTTTCCTGGAAAGTGATACTAGAGAAATGACCCCAGGAGTAAGTTCTGACTGAACAGTGACATGTATGCACATGGTTAAGTGCTTCTCTGACTAGGGATACCTGCCTTAGGACTAAGAAACTAAATTGAACCATCTCAGAAATTGAATCCTGCAATATTTCCAGCAGAAGGGTAAACAATCCAACCGAGATTTGTTCTGGTGGTTGTTCTAAGGCTGCTGATTCAGACACCGTAATATGGTGAAGCGGGTTCTGGCTCGTAGTGTGCAGAGATGCTTTGCAGGTCTCTGCAATCTGCCAGTAAAAGGATGGAGAACCAGATCTCCACCGGTAAGCAAGAGCAGTGGTTAACTTGGCTAGATGCTTCATTGTCACCGGTTATCTATCCCCACACAAAACTAACTGTGTATCGGTAAGACACGAGGGACCTGTTGGAGTCACAGGACCGGACTCCTGAAACCTGTCCTTAGTGCATGATACTTTGACAAACAGAAACTTGCATTAAGCATCTGAATTCAAGCACTCTAAGTGGGACCAGATTGGAGGTTAGGACTGCAGACCTAATTTGCCTCATTGTACATTTGTTTTCTTAAGTTTCTCTAGCTCCATCAGTGTCCTGGATGCACATATTTGCTCAGTGAGCAGATACTCAGTATTTTGGGCCTTTTTTCCTCAGTGTCCAGGCCTGAG